CCAGGGTCTTTTTATGATGATTATTCCCATCCATTGTTTCAATGTATAATGGGTCCCAAAGTCATAAAAATGTTTAGATCTTCAGAGCCATTGTATAACAATTTCATATTAATTGAGGAATACTAGGATTCCATAACATCTGTTTTATATGTACCCAAAATAGGGTAACATAACACCATTTATCTGCCTTAACATTGTATATTGGATCCATACTTTCCAAAATTCCATTTTGTCAGAAACTCCACCTTTGCTTTGGTACAATATCTGTGGATTCAATTTGATAATATAAAGTGTTTATCAGCAATGCAAAACACCCAGCTAAATACATCCTGACCCAGCTATTACAACTCTGCCCCAGTTTCCCATTTTAATATATACTTTATCATACAGATCATCCTTCCACAACTTGGTACCCTCTAAATGTGTTTGGATTACAATTTTCAGAGGGCTATAGCCAGAGGCAATATTAGATGAGGAATCCAGCTTGGGGAGAGATTTAACTCCCAGATAAGATGGACTGCAGTTTGTAGGATTCCCCATCTAACATTGCCTCCGGCTATACACCAAGCATATTTAAAAGTACCAAGTTGTGGAAGGATACTGAATATTTCAAAAGGCATCATTGACAGATGACCTTCTCTCAAGTCTCTATCCAAGCCTCATTGGTGTAACAGATTTTTAGTCCTTGAAGTTTAAGTAAAATATTACTTAATATATATTTAATTCTAGTGCAGCCCCAAACCTCTTTTTTAACTTCTTCCTGTGCATTTAATATTTTAGTTAAGAATGGAAAGCCTCCTGTTGTTGCTTGATCTATAATTCTCAGCATATTTCATCTATTTCATTTACTTTAGCTGGAACAGCTAAGAATTATAGTTTGGCAGCTTCTAGAGAGCCACTGGCTATTATCTTAATTTTAGATATTCCCATTGCTTTATCTCTTCTACAGTTTTATCCCATGGGGTTTAATTGGCATTGTATTATTATTTTCATGGTTCTAATATCATTCCCACAGTAGCCTTATATTTAAAAAAAGCAGCTGAAGTGAGATAGATAAAAAGGGAGTTTTCATCACAATTGGAAAAACTTAGAATCCTTTCTTGCATATTCTTGAGCCTTGTTTTGTACCATCAGAAAAAGACTGCAAAAGAAACAGAACTATGATTGACATGCTAATTAAAGGCTGCTTGTGGAAAGGCTTAAAATACATCCATAGGGTGACAAAGGCAAGCAATGGCATTAATTGGAAAATATCTAGACATCATTTTATCTTCTTTTCAAGCTCCCAATTTATTTTCAAGTTACTACTCGAGCCAGTTTCCTTCATTGTGGTAAGACTTGTTAAACTTGGAGTGTCAAAGTTCTTGACAGTAATCTATTATATTAAGTCTAATATCTAATGTGCACCTAGGAAAAATAATTGAGCAATATTTATGAACTTACATATATCTTCATGCCCTTCTTTATAGAAAGGATTAGCTGCTTTCTGGTGTCTGAATAATAAATAAAAGCAACTCCACATAAGAACAGTCATTGATACTTCTTTAATCATTGTTCCTTGCACGTGTATCTAGCAGAATAAAAGAAGAGTTTGAGCATGTGTTTACAAAGCTCCCGAGAAGTCCTTTGGAGTTAATGTATTTTCCTATAATGACCAAACACATTAATCTGTTGTGTCTTTTAAAACAAACACCCAAAATATTAGCCTTGCAAGTAGTGATAGAATAGAATCATCATGCAGGAATGATGATCCTGATCCTGCTGGTAACTGTAAGCTGCTTAAAGTCATGTATGTAAGATGAGTAATTAAATGATAAATGAAATTTCTCTAAAACATAAGCAATTAATTGTCTCTGAAATATATCTTCCATTGGCACAATATATCTGTAGACACAGTGGGTTTCCTATTTAAGTTATCCTGAGAATCCTGGATATCACAAATAATCTTTGTTGCCATCAGTATAGACAAAACCCCTTTTTGCTGTCATCAAGCCCTTTTGGCCAGAATTCGAAGTCTGAATTTATTTAAGTCAGCTTACAGTCAGAAACATCTGTACTCAGATGTTTGGGAAAGCTCGTCAACTGTGTCAGTAAAGGGTTGTGTTAGTTATGGAGGTTTGGAGGAGATTAATCAGAATACTGTGGAGAGCCAAGAAAATGAATCAATGGATCATCAAACAAATCAACTCAAGGCACAAATGATTAGGCTCAAATTATTCTACTTCAGATGCATTATGCAAAGACCCAAGTCCCTAGAGAAGGCTTTAATGCTGGGAAAAGTGGAAGGGGAAGAGGATGATCAGGAGCAAAGTGAAAAAATTCAGTCACTATGGTGATAAATGCACTTGGAAAACTTGAAAGAGTAGGTTAGAATTGATCATCATGGAGAAAGTGATGTTTCTATGTGCTTAGTAAGAGTCAACCACAACTTGATGACACATAATCAATTATCAAGCTGTGGAGAGACAGCCGTTCTTTTACATTCTGATTTTATAATCCATCAAGATAAGATTGTTCAGTTTGTTAGTAGGCCAAATCTCTGGGGAGGGCATTGCCTGTATTGCATTAATACCATCTTGTGAAAACTTTGCTTCTTGTGTTTTAAGGCATAATGACTGCAAAATTATATTTTGCAACCTGGAAAAATTAGTGCAGTCTAATTTGTGTGGAGTAGCATGTGTGTTCATATGTTGCATATTCATTTCAGAAAGGATGAAAAAATCTAAACAAATAATACCAATTTGGTTTAATTTTCACTTATTATGAAGCTAATACATTGATGACTGTTTACTAGTTGCTGTCATTCATTGCTCATTCTTGTCACTGAAGTAGTAGAGATCTTTTGTATCACTGCCTTCAAGTCTTAACAATTACTTCCTTAAAATGATATGAAAGTTGCAGCTTTCCATTGGGGATATTCTTCATCAATTTAATATCTTCCCCAAGTACTGGATTTCATATTTTCCCTAGTCACATCAGCAAAGAGATTATGGGATCAGAGTCTATTTGTGAGTGCACAGGAAGGCTATTCCATAATATATGAATGAAACAACTGTGAATAAGAGGATAAAGCTGCTTTTCCTCACATACCAGGAATAAAGAGCTAATCTTAACTATCTGTTTGGAAAGGGTTCCGTGAAAGACATGACAGTTCACGTCTTCATAGGAATGGGCTGCCAGGCTCATTTTAAATTAGATCTTTTGGCATTTCTACTTGATACTATTCTAGACATTCATTTTTAAATACTGAATTTGGTCAAGTCAGACTTCATTGCAGTTAAAAACAAATGTATTTTAGGTTCCCAAACTACAGTTCTCAACCAAAGAACTTAAGAAATGTAGGTATGAAAAGAAATTTTGCAAAATATCTAAGAGAATCTAAAATTCTATACAAAAATTTATGTGTTATGATCTATATTTCAAAAGTTACGAAGAAAAAATTGAGAAAAAATAGCAGTTAGGAAGGCATTTCATCTGAAAAACAAATGTGCACGCAATAGGAAGGGTCTAAAGTGCATGTACAAATAATGACACCAGCTTTTTCTAACAAATTAACAGTCAGAATCTAAACAAATATTACTAGAAGATGAAAAAAGCAAAAAGAAGGTTAACGCAATTGCCTATCTCTGTTATTAGACTTAAAAATACACTGCTTAATGTCCAGTTGTGATGGATTATTGGCTTTCCAGATGATTTATATTTGTGGCATAGATATATTGCTTGTCATCATTTTATGTCTATGGAGATTCTCAGTTGTTTAGGGCTTTGGTTTCTACGTCTTCCATGTAGAGATTGGTCACATGGGGGACTGAACTGAACAACTGAAACTGTCACAGTAGTGAAGAAATGACTGCTACAAGATAGCACTTTAAGTGATGGAACCAACTTCAGCTCAGACCACATATGTGCCATGCTGGACTTCTGTTTGACCACTACCTATTTTAAATACAATGATGGTTTCTACAGATAAAAACACGGCTGCGCCATGGGTTCACCTATGTCCCCCATTGTGGCCGATCGCTACATGAAAGAGGTAGAAACCAATGCCCTAAATTCCTTTACAGGAATTCCACCCACTCATGGTATAGGTATGTGGACAATACTTGGGTCAAGATCAAAACACAGGAATTGGAAGCACTCACCAAACATACCAACTCTGTGGACAGATACATCACATTCACATGAGAAGATGTTAAGGAAAATAGTCTAGCCTTCCTAGACTGTGCAATACACATTAAGGAAGACAGAAACCTTAACACTGAAGTGTACAGAAAACCCACACATACAGATCAATATTTACATTTTGATTTTCACCACCCACTGGAGCACAAAATGAAATGATCAGAACCCTATACCACTGAACGTAAGGCCTGCTTGCCAGCAGAGGGGAAAGAAAAAGAACTAAAACATATCAAGAAAGCCCTCAGAACATGTGGCTATCCCAACTGGGCCTTCATCAAAACCCAAAAAAGACTTAGCAGGAACTCCTCCGTAACAGACAAGAAGAGAACAATAAACAAGGCAATGTTGTCATTCCATACGCTGCAGAAATATCGGAAAAGCTCAGGAGGCTTTTAACTCTAAACCCAAGAATATACTATGGCAGAAGCTTGTCCACCCCAAGGATAAAACACCCAGACACAAACTGAGCAACATGGTATATGCAGAACAATGCAGTGACTTTTCTTCTGAGGAGAGGCACATTTCCAAACAAATAGCCGTCATCCATTTTTATTATGTAAGAATATTTTGGAACCTATTTGGTAAGCAGAAGCCTTCTTGGGGACAAAGTTGATATTAAAAGCTAGTATTGCATAGAATACTGCTTATTTCCTTATTTCTTAATTAAAATAATCTAAAAGATATAAAGCCACAAGGGCAGAGAGCTTGGTAAACATCAGAAATGGTCTTCACAGGAACATCATTACTGTACCCATTATAGTGACAATCTGGAAACACACTGAAGTATTTTAATATGAATAAGACTTTAAACAAAAGCATTGGGTACAATATTTTATTTATACAAAAATATGATTAAGTACTTGAAAAAAATCTGATAAAGAGTTTAGATATGCAAACATTTCTCTTTTCATATATATTGTACTTTTAAGTTTTTCATGAAAAATTCATTTAAAAAAAATCTCTTTAAATGAACTAATACAAAAAAAGATAAAGGATTGTCAGGAGTTGAGTGCTCTCTCTGTTTTTTGCCAGTGCATGACAGACAAACACAACCCAGTTTCAGTGGGAAGACCTAGGCATGTTATGTTGCCAATTTAAATACTGACCTTACTTGAATCTCCTAAGCAGATAGGTCTGGAAGTGGATGGCTTCTATATAAGGCTAATTGTCTTATGAAAGCCTACCATGCTGTTCTTATTTTTTGATTGAATTGGTTGCTTCAAAGAAATCCTCAAAGAAAGCAGCTTCCTTTCTGCACTATGACTCACCAGCAAATGATTTTTAAAATTCTTCTAAATCCTGAAATAACATATAGCCATGACTCTCCATTAATAGATTTTTTTCCCATAATTTTGTCTAATCCTCTTTTTAGATCAATGCACCTCATTAAAAAAAAAACACCTTCATCCGTTTTAAGAGGGGCAGATCAGGTTGGGGAATCCTGGAGTCCATATCCCTTAAAGTTGCCTTAGTTAGGATACACTGAAGTAAAATTATTTATCTTCAACATGTTTTACAGTCCATCCATTCCATCTTTTCAAACAATACTATTTGGTGACAATTTTAGAAGAGTGACAACTTCAGGGATTTGCACTCAAGGCCTTCAGGCTGAACACCTAAACAAATGAGGTAAACAGTAGCAATATACAGTAACATTTAAAGTAGGCTCTAAAATTAGCAATTTAGGTATGCAGCACAGGATGTACCCTCCTTTCCGGTTTGAAAGAAAGTTCATTTTTATTTTCTGTGCAGCTGTTTTTCATGCTGCCATTCTAGGCAACCACCACGAGAGGTCATCAGATCCCATCACTATTCAACATTACACTTTTCTAAATCTACCTTACTAGTAACTCCAGTTTAGTATATTTCCTGTTACTTTAAAATCTGGTTTCTTTTTATTCAGTCTCTGCCCACTTAATGCTTAAATATTTATAAAACATTTAACACAAAAGGCAGACGCAGAATTTTTTTTAAAAAATAAATATTTTTCTCCATAAAGTTTTAAAAATTCCTATATGAATATATCTTTTCTTTCCTATTGAATACACAAAATAGGAACTCTCAGAAAAATCACCTATCTCCTACATGAAAAAGAATTGCACTTGTAATATATCTTTCAACTTAGAAGGATTGTTTCTGACTGGCATGGACTAATTTTAATGAAATGAAAAAAGAAAGGAAAGAATGCCTCCTGTTACAAAATAGTAGCTAACTTTCAAAAATGACCCATTACCAGAAATATCCCCATCCCAGTGTTCTGTTGGACTCCAACTGTTATCACAGGTTTGCAGTTCAATACATCTGGAGGGCACTAGGTTGGAGAAGGCATTTCTTGCAAGAAAACACAAAACAATTCAAATCCCGCCATTTAAAATTCCTGATGAAGCCAGCCCCAATTCTAAATATTTTGGAAGATTAAAACAACGTAAGCCTTGCCTGTGGGGATCAGTTTAGGAATGTATAGCATTTCCAAGCATTGACTGCAAGCAGGGTTGGCTACGATGTATGTTACAAGAACCAAAAGCAGTGTGTGCCCAGAGTTCGGAGCAAATTTTTGCCAAAGTATCATAGAAATCCAGATACTCAGGAAGGAATTCATCTGCTATTCCTTCTGGGCACAAAATCAAGTGTGAATTTAAGAGCTTAAGGAACTAGACATGATGTTATTGATCCAAAAGGGATGGAGGAAAAGAGGAGGAATCTACTTTTTCCAGAATGCATGGCAAATGCAAAACATCTGTTGCAATTATAATTGGTGCTTCTCAATTCCAGGGGGAAGACGGGGGGGGGGGGGAACCTGTAGTCAGTATGAAGGCTGAAAACATGAAGTACAAGTTGAAAGGAGGGGAGAGGTATTAATAATTGTTTGTTGACATTAAAGAACAACAAAAAAGAAAATCTTTGCAAATTCTATGTTTGAAGAGAAAAACAAAGAAAACCAAAATTCCTGACTGGGAATGGTCCAATAATCCATAAATTCTAAACATTAAACATTCAGGAACCAGCTGAATACCATTGCATAATGTCATTTTTTTAAAAAAAAAGCTCAAATATATCCAGTTGCTATTTGGTTTTTTTGCCCCTCATCTGAAAAAAAAAAAGGTGCAGCAATTGAAAGCATTTGTAGTGTAGTTACTTACAGTTTTTTATGGTTTGAGTGAGGTGAATAAAGCAATAGTGCTGCCAGTATTTTAGCAAACATTTGCAATTTTCTATCTATTAGAAGTTTCCTGGAAGACTCTGTACAGCTTTGTGTATGTGTATCTAGCATTGATCTTCCATAGTTTTATATACAAACCTTGATAAAGTGCAACTGTTATTGGCATGATAATATAGTCCTATTTTCTCAGGAAGCACCAACATAACTTATCTTATGGCACACTTAAGGAAGCGACTACTATGCCATGGCACGTGGCCCATTACGGTTGCCCCATAAAGTCATTCCTTGGTCTCTGGAGCTGCAGGATGGAAGAAAAAGCAGCTCTTCAGAGAGTCACAGAAGGTGGGTCCGATGGTAAAGATTCCTTCTTATTCCAAGGTTGAGCCCAGGGAACCTCAAAGGGAGAATTCCTCTGGTCTTGCCAGCTGTTACTTGGTGCTGTTGCCAGAGTTTTCTTCAGGGATCTTCTCTTCTGAGCTGCTTCTTCCCGAGAGTCCATCTTGATAATCAAAATCATTGAACCTCTCAGCTACGCACTGTGCCGTCAGCCGGGCCTCAGGATCATGGTCCCAACACTCAACAATAGTCTCGCACACCTTCTGGATACCCTGAAATGAGCACATAAAGCAACACCTTTGAACTCTGGAAGACACAGGACTCAATAAAAGGTTTAAAAAGCAGGTCTGCAAAGGGTACACGTGTATAAAAAAAATGTCCTCATATAACTATTCATGTAATAAATAGTAGTAATTGAGAAAATATAGAATTCTAATTTACAGCATCTATTCATGTTATATTAAGTGAAAACAAGAACCCCAGCTTTTCACAAGTTATAATAATTCAGGTTACTACTTTATGTAAGTCATTTTTTAAAGATGAATATACCCTGAAACATTAAGGAGTCATTATCTGCAACCCTACAATAAATATATTAAGTTCTGTTTTGTAATTAGAATTTTTACACTAAAATTATAGTTTTCTGTTTTGTTTTCCAACTGGGGAAGCTAGGTAATGGTGATGAGAATGCAGTTTGGGATTTTACTATGTATTTGCCATATTTAAAGAAGAGATGGCATTGGACAAATTAACAGATGTCTACTGAATTATCTTGAATGGACCAAGACATTTTCCTGGCTTGGGTAAAGCAGCAGTTACCACAGTATGCATAACACAGAAACAGCCAAACTATTCAGATGTTTGAGCAAAAAAATCCACCAAACATTTTTGGCAGCAATGCATACAAAATTAACAAAAATAATTTTTTAAAAATAGCAAAATAAGTAACCATCATGTTCATTCATGATTCCTGCAATTAATACATTCAGGCAGCTCCCACTAATACTTATTAGTAATGGCATGCCCTGGCCACTACCAGTTTTGTCAATAATTGTGGTATGAAAAATAAAAAGCAAAGTAAAAGGCATGAATTTCAAAATAACCCTATTGAAGAAAAAAGTTCAGCTTTTTGTGATGTGGTGACCAGAAATTTTTTTTAAGCATTTACCTGCCTTGCACTCGTCTGAAATCTGATTCATTAATCCATAGTTATATACTGCCAATTAAAAGTCTGGATGAATTTTCCTGTTTATCATAGAATGATGGTCTACATATGGAAACTGGATTCTGATTCTTATCTGATTCTGGATAGGTTCCTCTATCTGTGTCCTTATCTGAGACACAAAAGTATTCCACGATATTCAACTGATGCACGGGTTGATAAAGTGGAAGACCAAAAGGAAGTTAATTGGCACAAACTTCTTTTTGTGCTCCAAATTTCAGGTTTTAATCTAACATTCAAGTTATTGTGATGCTAATTACAGTTCTTTCATAATGCGAATTCCACTATAGGTATTTTATTCTAGAAAATAATGGCTAATTCCAGGCTTGTCAAGATATCGGGAAGATATTAATCATATGAGTATTTATGTAATGTCTTACCTCTAGCTCATGCATATTAATTCATTAAATTCTATGCTAAAATATTTGGCCTTTTATTTCAATGGAGAATTTTCTTGGTTATAAGTAAGAGTGAAAACTAGTCTGTCTTTTTTTTAATGCCACATTTAATTGTAAGATTTACTTCATAGTTGATTTTGACAATTGCCAACAATATAATTAGAATTATACAAATTATAGTTTTCTGCATTCTGAAACTACCAACATTAAGTTAAGTTGAATATTAAACACTGATATGAAATCATTAATGTGAACAAATTTCATTATAGAAATGAAAGAGAAAGTATAACCTTCATTTCAAAGGTAGTATTATGAAAAACAGGTATATAACAACAACGAAATTGCATGGAAAAACAGAAGGGTTAAATAAAGTGATAATAATTGTTTTAGGTTTAGAGTTTTATAAAAGAATTTAAAACCTTAGCAGCAACGTAAAAATACCACAGGCAGATTTTTTGACTGAAATCTAATACAAAGAATTATTTTACTGACTAAACATGGTCTATGGCACAGGTCGGCAACCTGCGGCTCCGGAGCCGCATGCGGCTCTTTGAGTCTTCCCCTGTGGCTCCCAGCCTCCTCTGCCTTTGCAGAGAGAGACAGAGACAGAGAGAGGCACTTGTGCTTCCCTGCTTTTCTCTCTCTCTCTCTCTCTCTCTGTGTGTGTGTGTGTGGGCGGAGCTCCTCCCTTTGCTGTGTCTCAGCAGGAAGGGCAGGAGAGAGCTAGCTAGCCCAGCTAGGCTGACTCAGGAATTCTGGGAGTTGAAGTCCATGAGTCATAAAAGAGACGAGGTTGCTTACCCCTGAGCTTGTTGGACAACAGCTTGAAGCTTGCCAGGTGAGCAGCAGATAGGAGGGGGGGGGAGAAAGAGAGAGAGAGAGGGAGGGAGGGAGGGAGGGAGGGAGGGAGGGAGAGAGAGAGAGAGAGAGAGTGGGGGGAGAGGAGTGGCAGACCAAGAGTAGATAGAGAGGGAGAGAGAGAGAGAAAGAGAGAGACCCTTTTGACATCTAAAATGAAGATAACACTGCATATATCCTTTTTTTACTTGTGTGTATATGTAATTTTATTTTCTTAAAGCATTCTCTTGGTGATCATTGTTTTAATAGTATGGATATTCCCAAAAGTGATATTTTTACTTTTATTTTTAATGTGTGTGTGTGTGTGTATATATATATGTATATATATATGTATGTATATATATATATATATATATATACACACACACACACACATACATACACAAACACACACACACATACATACACAAACACACATACATACACAAACACACACACACACACACACACACACACACACACACACACACCTATAATAAAGGTAAAAAAGGATATATGCAGTGTTATCTTCATTTTAGATATCAAAAGGGTTTTGTGGCTCCCGGTGTTTTGTTTTTGGTGGGAAACGGGTCCAAGTGGCTCTTGGGTTGCCTACCCCTGGTCTATGGCAATAAGATGCTCTGGTAAAAGAATAAAAGTGAGGGGGGTTCCATATTATTAAAATTGTATCAACTGAAAAGGCAGAATTGAGAGAAATAATGCAGCAGAAAAGGAATATAATAGAACAGAGCTGCAATCCTATCATCACTTTGCTGGGGCAGTGCTTCTAAGAAATTCATTACATTAACTAGCACTCCATACTGCAAGAGCTTTTTACAACTCTGAGTAATCTTAAGGCTCAATCTTTATTTGTTTTTTTTTCCTTTTAGTTTTTTGCCCATTGTTTTTGCTCCCTGAATGCAATGGTCCAGTAAACAGGACTTCAAGGGGAAGAACAGCATGTAGAAATAATAGTTGGAATTATATTTTAATATTAGTTTTAGTGTCTGGAATATAAAACATCTTTGGATCATTTCAAAAACTGAAATTATTTTCTATTGTGACCATTATATGTGACACCTGGCCAGTTTTGCCACGAACTGTCCTTTTCCAAAAATAATTGAGGCTTTGTCTTACCTGATGGTTGAGCCATGAACTAGGAATCTCAGGCCGTCCTCTGTCCCTCAAAACATTGTCCTTCATGCTTTCTACACAAGGATGTTCTCGTACTTTTGAACCAAATGGTGGCTCATAGTCTTTCACCTCTACTAGGAAAATAAGCAAAAATGAAGACACTTGGTTACACTAAGAAGATCAAAATCAAGATGTTCATGTTGGCCTCTTCTTGACAAAGTAGAATATGATGCTGCCAACTATTCTTTATGATATGAATTCAGTGCTGTATTGCATTTTTTGTTTCTGAGCCTTGCATTTTGCCAATATTGCTGGACTGCCTATCACTGCCATTTATCTGAGAAAAAAAAATATTGAAAAAGACACTGGGAGGTTGGGTGCATTCCTGAAATTTAAAACTTTGTCCTAGAAGCCTTAAATTATTGTGATGATCTCTAGAGATCAATAGAAATAGATAGTTAAAACCCCAAGCCTTCAAGAATCTGACAGGATTGTTTTTCTTATTCCTTTTTTTGCTAAGAAGTTAAAAAGATATTTAGAAAAATCAAATAAAACTAAACTCTAACAATAGAGTAAGCCAAGGCACAATTCTTAACAGCTCCAAAAGAAATTCAAACCAAACTCATTCCCCATCCATAAATCATTACAATTCTCAAACTGTGAGATCCTAAATGATCTGAGGTATATGCTGAAGCCTTTTTTCTTCTTCAAGTTTTGGCAAGATAATCCTGGAACAGACATGAAGACTGAACTAAGACAGAGCCAGAGGAAGGCAAGGGTGCATACAAAAATGTGCATTTACATATATTCTAAAAGCTGTTCTGCATTATGTAGTGTGCTTTATGTGTAAAAAAAAGCATGAGAGTTCTGAAAATATCTACTCAAAACTTCACTGTAAGTCTTAAATAGATTTCTTCAAACCCATAGCTTCATTTGTTTGCTGCTTATATTTTCCCCAACAAAAGAAATGAAGAAACAAGGTGGAAAAATGGAAAAACTTAAAGGCAACATCAATCCCAACCCAGATTTCATTTCTGCCATTTCTGTTGGTAAAGTCTAACAAGTTCACAACAAACATTTCTAGCCAGCTACATGACAAACTTAGATACATTCATATTACATGCCAAAGCTTCAACCTTTTTTTTTCTTTTGGTTTCCTATTTTGTTAATTTACATTTTAATTGTTGTGTGGATCCAGAAAATTGTTAAATTGTTAAATTCAATAATCAAGTACAACACTGTAGTATTGTTGGCTAAAATGCATCATTCACATATTTGGAATGATATAAAAATGCAGCTCAGTGTTATTTTATTTATTTATATCTTGCCTGTGTTATTTTTACAAATAACTCAAGGCAACGAATGTATCCAACACACCTTCCTGCTGATGGTACCTACTTAGTACTTTGTACTTAGTACCATCGGATATGTTTTTTCCTAGCCCATCTATAAATGGTAGGATTTGAATCAGGGAACTTATGCTTATTAGTATAATTTTATACAGAATCCTGGCATACACATGCACCCTATACGAGGGAAATGATTTGTCTTTCATCCAATGTATGGCAGATTTTAATTTATTTTTAATATTAAAAATAATTCTGTATTTATAGCAACAAAAGGTTCTGTTGTGGAGTGTCATGTAATTGCTCCTGCCAAACTACAGAGTGTCATGTGATTGCTCCTGCCAAACAGGAGTATGTATGAACTTAGGGTGAGCAGAGGCCTGTTCATGAATTTGAGAGGCGCATTGGGTTGGTGTTCCAAACGGCATGAAGTTGTACTTAAAATATTTACAGACAAGCACAAACCTATAAATGCATACACACATTCATAATCATTACTTCTGCAGGAGCAATCTGGGACTGTGGGAGCTGGACTGATTCCTGTGTTGGGAGGGACGACTAAGAAAATGGAGAGCTGAATTCTGGATTCGGCAGTGAGGAAAGAGATGAAAGCAAGCCAGAGGAACTGAAATGGAGAGGTATATGATGGCACAGTTTAGGCAGAAAAACTAAAAGAGAGGAATGAAAAAGATGGATCACCAAAAGCAAAAGCAAAGATTAGGTGGGAGAAGTGGCCAATGAGGCAGAAACAAAGGGATATGGAAGAGACAGTTGGGGAAACAAAAAGAGCAAGTCCAGAGAGGAGCAAACAGTGCAAGAAGAAGACAAAGAAGAGTAACAAAGCCATACTTTTTAAATTCATCTTATAAAGAATCCAAATTAAGTGGAATCCCTCCACTTGTGCCTTACGGTGGTGAAATTTCTAGATAAGAAAACTTTCTCAAAATTAAAAATAAAAGCACACAGTGAACTTTCCCTGGTCCAGTCTGCCTAGCTGCATATCTCTACCAGCAAGCTACAAATGATCTACAGCTATGTCTGAAACATGTTTTACAAGTACTTATTCTGGAAATTTTTATTTTCTTGCTTTCCCATGACTAATAGTACTTTAAATAGCCTTATTTATTTATTTATTTTGATAAACCACGTCATAGCAGAAAAATAAGGAAAAATAATATTTAGACCAGAGCCTGCTTTCTATCATGTCGGTTTTAGAATTGGTTTCTGCAGGCAACAAAAAGTTTTAGATTAGACCAATATACTGAATTGAACTGAAAGGGACCCAAGTCATTGTGGTTTCTTTGAGGAATGGTGTTTGCTGCATTTAAATGTTCATTTCATGTTCATTTCATATTTGCACAATTTCAAAAAGAGTCAAGGTCTATTCTAAGGGACAGATTCAATCATCCAACATACAATTTGCTTTCAGGACACCAATAGGCTGAGTAAGATAATTCCCTGAAATCTATTTTTGACATGAAAGGATGCAGGACAAAACTGAAACATGAACACAATAACAGACACAAAATATATTTCCTGGAGCCAGTGTAAGGAAACAAGTGTGACCTGAAGCACAATAAAGGGCATTTTACAAATGCCAGGCTTTCTTTTGTAGAGAAAAAAAGGAAGAAGCCAATGACTCAATTTAAAGGGAAATCAGCATACTTGCATAGGGTATTGTTTCTGTAGAACTGTCATTCAAGAGCGGGGGGGGGGGGGGGGCTACAGTTCATATGCTTAATTTTAATTTAAATGAAAACCAGTTCATTAAGAAGGCACATTTTGCTAACAACTGTTTGGAGAAAATAGCAGTTTTGCCTCTCTTTTTTTTTTGTCATGTTCTCATTATTTAAGTACTGATATTAAAAACTGAGAGAGCCATTTTGATGTAGTGGTTAAGGCACTAGGCTAGAAACCAGACAACCTTAAATTCTAATTCTGCCTTAGACACAAAGCCAGCTGGGGGACCTTGGGCTGGTCACTTTGTCTCAGCCTGAACCGAGAAGATGCAACGGCAAATTACTTCTGAAAAAACTTGCCAAGAAAACTGCAGGGACTTGTCCAGGTAATCTCTGAAATTATATACGATTGAATCAAATGACTGAATCAGTCATTTTTTAATGAAGTGAGAGAGTAAAAAAAAAGTCTGCATTTTCTCCTACTACATTTGATGCTTGTCTGCTATAGGCAATAAGAAATTAGTCATGGATTTGTATCTGAATACCAAAAGTTTTGGAGCACTTGAAAAATGAAGTGTAGACTACTTTTCTTCCAAAATATTTAGATTTATTTCTCCTGCCAAATACCAAAGTCCCAAGCCTTTCAACATACCAGTTTTCCATACTTTCATCCTTTATCCAAATGTGTTGTTTCAGACAAAGCGAGCAAACATTTCAAGTAATCCAGCATTGCTGAAAGAAGCTCAAAGAGCATAATAAGTTATTTAGAAAGGTATTTTTCAAACATTTTTGGATGACCTGGCTGATACTGACTAATTTCATATACATGCAATAAAGATACTGAAAAGAAGTGACTGTCAGATCACTTAAGGCTCAGCATGCTTTCCTTTCTCAGAGTATCCATGTCAGTTGCAAAGGCAAATTGTTTGGATGGAAATGGTATTTGTCACAATGCATAACATCTGGTGTACAGCTGTTGTGTTGACTAAACTTCCAAGCAGAGACCTCAAGCTTTCCTAAAAGCGGTATTGCTTTTCTAAAGCAATTTCTAAATATGGCTTCTAAATTACTCTCTAGTGAAATATTGGGCAAGCTATAACTTCTTTCCACATTTTGTCCGAAAACCAATTAAATAGTCTTTCCTAAGGTTGTATAATTTACAATTATATTGATAATCGTATCTTCTGTTTAGAGATAAGGTCAGCTCAAAAAGATTAAAATTATACTGAGGCTCTACGTAAAAGATATTTACTTCAACTTCACCTTACAGGAATCCACAACCATTCCACATACCATAGACTCATTCTTGAAAGACTCTTTGTCATAAAATTGGCATTTAAATTAAAATAAGTATGTACTTAAAAACAAATATCACAGACCATATGGTTTCCCCTATCCCTGTTTTTATAACTATTTAAAAATCTCTGTATGCTGATGACATACCCTGATATTCGAAATTGCAACAGATATGCAACTCCAATAATAAAAGGACAAAAAATAATTAAAAACAGGTTCTATTTTGGTTCATAATTTGAAGACTGCCCACTTAAGGACTATTTGAAATTATGACAACCTTGGAAAGTTACTTACAAGCCATCTGCAAAGTGTTTAGCAACGTATAAAATTGGCTGCGGCATTCTGTGGTCATGTGAGCATGTTTTGAAAAAAGCGGCAAAAAACCCACATTCAAAAAGCTGGATTTGGACTTACAACTACATGATTGTTTTAATGACTGCAATGACTCACGACTTTAAGACTGTCATAAAAATGGTTAAAAATTGAATTGACTCAATTTGTGACTGCAACAACGTATAATCAAAATTCTGGACTCAATTTTGGTTGTAAGTCAAAGACTATCTGTGTATTATAGACAACAGTTATATCCGGAAACTTTTCAGAAATCCATCCCATTTTCTTAGATTTATTTGACAAAAGTCTCCTAGCATTATTTCATATATATATATATATATATATGTATCTACTATCACAATCATTTGTTATAGCCTGCAACTTCTTTGCTTTATTAAATTCTAAGCTCCCTGTATTGTTCTTCAAGCATATGCCTACTTCACCTACATAATTAACATTTGCATGGTGCACTGTGATGCTCAAAGATCCTTTTTTAAAAAAAGAGATTGATATTGTACTCTATCCTTTTTGATCTAGAATAGCACATTCTTTTGTTTCAGTTTTAGGCAGCTCTGTAACTTCATGAGCATAGCTGCAATGAGGGTGGTGTTTTTTACCTAGGCACTATTCCAGGGTACTCAAACAGAAACAGGAAAGATCACAAGAATCAGCAACGATGCAAGAATATTCCTGAATAAACAGTTCATCCAGGCCTTAAAAAGGGGAAACCTTGAAATGAAGTTAGGTGGAGTTGTAAGAGTAATGTTCTTCCTTCACCCCAACCCTATCAGGTTTTCATTTTCTTTATCAAAATGAAAGTCTAGCTGGGACCCTCATACTTTGAGGCACTTTGACCCCCTAAGATGATAAATGATTTTTTATGAACTCTCCTCATACATAAAATGAGTAATTAGATAAGAAATAAATATACCACTAGTTTTCCATAACTACATTTTAATCTTTGGATCTCAAAAGTCATACTATTACATTAGTTCCTGTGACTATACCCAACTGAAATAGAAGAGTTTTGAGAGTCCTCCTTGTGGAAAACAGTTGAAGTCCACTCCATGCTTCCCTTCTCCCTTGATTTACTGTGTGGTTGCCCTAGGCCAGGGGTAGGCAACCCTGGCTTTTTTAAGACTCGTGGACTTCAACTCCCAGAATTCCTGAGCCAGCGCTCAGGAATTCTGGGAGTTGAAGCCCACAAGTCATAGAAGAGCCAAAGTTGCCTACCCCTACCCTAGGCAAAGCAGGCAAAAATTTTATCATCATTGTCTATGCAAATGTGATCAGATTTAAAAAGATTATTAGATCCAACTCTTTGCTGATCATACAGCTCCAAAGGACTATGGCTACAATTCAAAAGCCCTGGTGTAATTACACATTATAAACTAAGGTCCAAAGTATTTAATGGTCTGTATATATAATCTCTCTCAACAAACCGATCTGTTCAGATCAATTAAATATGATTCTGGAATGAGCACTGGTACTGCTGTGGAGAACTGTGGAGTCACAGAAATCAGGAAATTTCCACCAAAACCAGCAGTGATAAAACCAGCTTTCTTGAATAGAACTGCTGGAAGGGAGGGGATCTGTATTTCCCATGTTCCAATTAACCCATTCAAAGGAGCTTATTTCCTGCTACCCATGATCTGGACTCCATTTCCCCTCCCCCAATGACTTTGCTTAGGATTGATAAGAACAAGGATGAACAATATGTGCAGATGTTTATTTGTTAATCTCTATACCAGCAAGACTGTCTGCTCTTGGTTTCAAACATGCTAAATAAGATAGCTTGATGGCTAACTCACTAGTGCTAAAACTGCCTGAAATGGAGACCACCTATGAACAACACTGCAGCCTATTTAACTTAGTAATAAATGTACCTCCTGCAAACATAACAGACAAGGAATTATAATTGCACCTGTTTAAAAATACTAAATCTATGGGATCTAGCGTACCTCCAACACCATTGCAACGAGATGTCATTTCCCACAGAACCAAAGCCATGGAATACACATCAGTCTGCTTAAAGGATTCAACATTATCCAAGTTCATTCTGGATTCCAGGACTTCAGGAGCCATGTATCTTGCTGTACCAACCTGTCAGCATTTACAAAAGTTAAAATGCTTTAAATGGAATTTAAAAAGCAGCACCACCACTAAATATATTTTTTTCAAAAACAAAGTCAGTTATGTTAGCAGATGGAAATAGATTCAATTTTCATGACTGCATGGCCCACAAGAATCTCCACTTAAGCAATATCTAAAAGTGTAATGATTAGTGTTTCCTCCATAAAAAAGCATCACTGGGGATATTAATGCATTTTGAGGTAAAGCTGCTATTCCCTGTTTTCAAATGATGGTCCAGATTTTATTGCATGGAATGACATGCAGTTATTCAACCCTGCTTCTAGTCACAGTCAATCCATCACATTTCAACAGGTATAATATTTATAAAATCCTCTAGCTCTCCATATTGCTCCTCATGCACTAGCTTACCTGCCCACTATTAGCCAGGTCATCAACAGAGAGAGTAGGATCCAACTTTAAGGATAATCCAAAGTCACAGAGACAGCAAGCCAGGTCATTCTTTACCAGGATATTAGAACTCTTCAAGTCTCTGTGGACAATTGGCGTCTTGGGCCGGCCACATGGTGTGTGATCACTATGAAGGTGGGCAATCCCGCGAGCCAAAGAGCCACCCAGTTTCCAGAGATCCTCCCAACTAATGATGTGTTTTATGAGATATTCCTGCAAGTTGCCTCTTGAATGGAAAGCAGTGATCAACCAGTACTGTTTGCCTAGATCTGTCTTGCGCTCCTCTGCTGTAAGGAACTGTAGGATGTTCTCATGTTTTAGATTTATGTCAGAAAAGATATCTTTCTCAGTCTTCCAGGAGGCATATTCTTCATAGGAGAAGATCTTGACAGCCACAGTTTCAAACTGTTCTGATGTGTTTTGTTTCAGTTTAGCCTTATAGACTTCTGCAAATCGCCCTTTGCCTACCAAAGTGTCCAATTCAATAGGCAGCAATTCGGTGTTATGGTTAATATTATTAGCACAAGTAGAACTGATGTCAGAACGATCATCATCCAGCATAATGGCACAAACATCACTACAGTCTTTGTGCTTCCTGGATTTCACATTTTTCTCCCATGCCTTGTTGAGTTTCCTCCTCCTCTGAACACGGTAGAAGTAAAAGATAATGATCACAGCAATGGCAATCACCAGCAATGGGACAAGGCATATAACTGCGACCAAAGCAATCACGTATTTTACTTCTGTACTTGAGGTGGTATCTGGAAAAAATATTTAAAGCATTAGGTGAAACTTCAAAATTAAAAAGGTCATTAACATAATTATAGTCTTATAATTATATATTGTAGTTAAAGGCAGAAAGCTAGAAACTAGGACATTCTAATTCTAGGCCTGACTTAGACATGAAGCCAGGTAGATGATCTTGACTAGTTATTCTCTCTCGGCACTGAACTGGGATATTTTTTCATGAGACAACTACAAAGAAGCAGCTTAAAGTTCTGTCATTGTTATTTTTTTATTGTGAAGTTAGATTACTAAAGCAAGCTGTCTACCCTGAAACATTTTATTTTATTATGAAACCCCCAATACATTAGATAAGAATCTATTTCAATGCGATATATCATTGGAATTCGTAGCCACAATGGAATGCTAACTTGTGTAATCACATTCTGAGACTGTACCAATTGATTTTGGCATAAAATTATTTTGACAATAATTTTAAAAATAATAAAAAATACATTAAAATTGTCTGGTGGGCAGAGGAGATCAATATGATTGAAAATATGTACATATAAGAATCATTCAATTTCTTTTAAATTCATATTAAATATTTTTGAAGCAATCTATAATACAATCAAGCCATCACAAAAATATCAAAAGGATTAAAATAAAATTAAGAGTAGATCTTCTTTTTAGACTATTTATTAATTTGTAATAGTGATGAATTTCTGTAGCTCGGGTGTAAAATGAGGATGAAGATTTGTTTTCCGAGCTTGAGGGCTGGTTTCCGAATGTTTCATTACCAGGCTGGGTAACATCTTCAGTGGTGTTTACGGCATCATTCAATTTATGCTGCTACCCATACTAAATTTATCACTCTGGAAGGCTAATAACACTTACAGAACAAAATGTATTGAGCCCAAAGTTCAACTAAATCAGGTTTTTAAGGCCTTATGAAATGCCAGTAGATTTGGGCCAAATCTGGTATCTGGGGGGATGATGTTGTGGAAGATGAGGGCCACAACAAAGAAGGCTCTCCTCCTGGGCCCTATCAAATGACAACTTTCTAAGAAAAGGAACCAGGAGCATGCCCCTCCTTGATGATGCCAGTTCCAGATGTAAAAGAAAATAAATTGAGCAATCTATTTTCCTTGCTCCTGATAGGCAGACTACATTTTATATTCAAGTTCAATCAGCTTTTTTTTCCTACAGGACAATATGTTTTTCCTTTGTGAGGAATAGAGCAGAGGTGTCAAACTGTCGGTGCATGGGCCGGTTACATCATATGGAGACTGCGCCTACCCCCAGCTCCGGCAATGGAAAAAAAGTTGCGATATGTCACATGTCAAGTGACGCGGCAGGTTTGAAACCCATGGAATAGAGCCAACTTAACTGTTTTCTTATTTTTCTATTGGGTGGACTTCTAGAAGTCTCACATGTATGGATTTCATGAATATTGTAATTGGCTGGGTAGCATTATTGTTCTTGGATAATATAAAACATGTGAGTGCAGAGCATCTATAGGATCAGAGGTTTTCATCAAAATACAGAGAGCAATGTTGTGCCATAGCAAACAAGTTTTGCCTCATTCTTATGTATAAGCAAAACAGAGACATGGAGGGGTGGTTATCTATCCCAGAAACACAATGCAGATACTGCAGATATCCCCCCACCCACACATATACACATTACGGTTTTTTGAATGAATCATTAAGCAGCATTCTCTGTTTTCTATTCCCATCCAAAAGATATTTTCCTTGTGCAAAAATGGTTGCTCAGTTGCTGAATATGCTTACCTGTTGAAAATACAGCTTGGCTGTTCTGAATGAAGCATTCTTAAAAATAAATAACAAAGGGAGGATTTTGTTCTGGACATTGACTGGAATCTTAAAATAGGAGCATTCCATAATACAGCTTTTTGTTGCAGATCTACTTTGTCTTCCCTACAGCCAGAATTCTCAGATGAAGAGAAGAAGCTACAAAATACCAAACAGCTAAAACAGGGATAATAGAAAACACTGACAGGTGATGGAATAAATTAGAGAAAATTCCATTAGGAACAGAGAAAGAAGGATGCCAAAGGGTATAAAATAGACTAGAGCTGATATGTAAAAGTTCCCATAAAACAATGTTGAAACATTTATAATCTATGAGGTTGTAGATTTAATAAGATCTACCATATCCTCCTGGGATATTCTGAAACCTACTGATTGTTACTTGAAAAAGGGGAATGCTAATGGACTGGAGACAACATCAATGCATTTTGCATGGGTTCTCAACAGAATACTTCAATGATATAAATTGACCTGCAAGAGATTCCAGCATGCCATCTGCTTGATAACTCTTCATTTGTCAAGCAGCAGATTGGTCTCAATACTTAGTCTGCTGCATATTTCTCAAGAATTGTTTGCTGTCCAACTGTGATAGATAATTTCAGACACCACTTAAAGTTCAAATGAAAGAGTCTCCTTGCCAACAGCAGTCTTTTCCCTTTCTCTTTCAGCAATGGATCCTATTTACACATCTACTATTTATGCAGTACACATTCATAATACAGAGTAGATATTTATCTCAATGTATTGCTTTAAAAATGTACTTAAAAACTCAATTGTCACTTTAAGAGGAGATCTTAGACAAAGTGAAGGCTAGAATAGGAAGCTGTTTTGGTTTGCAAACAAGGCAGAACAAAGTTAAGTGTCCGAAACTATTTAAGCATTTGAGTGGGTTTATAAGTTAATAGTATAATGCTGACGAGTATAAAGTCTATGGGTTTAATTAGGGTTTCAGAAAACATGGCTGGGACCCAAGATTTGAAAATACTATTGGGTTTTTAGCTTCATTAAAAGCTAGTAGGGTTTGGCTGTTGCTGATTTGCTGAATTGTTAGTAAGCTATTGTGTTACTAAATTTTGGACTAGGATGAGAGAGACTTAAAATGATCGACTACTTAGAATTGGGGCACTGTGTTACTTTGTTGTCTATTCTGAAGAAACACTTTATTTGAACCTACAACAAAAAGGCCTCTTTAAAAATCCAAGCAACTTTAATGAACACATCAGAGCTGCAGTGCATGATTTTTCCATTCACAACTCCAACTTTAAGTTACTCTAGAGTCTGGCTGAGGAATTCTGGAGTTGAAGTCCACAAGTCATAAAAGGGCTAAGTTTGGCTTCCGGTTTGCGACTGCAGTGGCAGTGGACGTTCAGGGGAAGTGCTCTCTCTGCTGTCCAGTTTTCCTTCATCGGGAGACCCTGAAAAGGGTCGAAAGTTGCCCTGCAGGGGTGACGACCATGAGGATGACCCTCAACAGATCGCAGAAGGGCGGCAGCTCTTCCATTTGATCCAAGGCAGCTCCTTTGGACTGATGGAGAAAAGATCGGCCATCAACATGGCTGATCACTAAGCCGTACCAGCCGAAAGCCAAAATCACTACAAGCACAACGAAAGCACTGAGGAGGAACTGGGTGAGACCTTACCTTACCTTTCTTGTATCCCAACTATCTTCCTGTAAAAGCGTTTTGAAATTTCTTCCCCCCTTTTAACATGGCAGCGTCTGCCTACTTTGGAAAATTAAAGCTTCGAAAAGAAAAGGACAACTACACTAAACAACTAAATAATTGGACTTGCACTTTTTGGATATTTGGGGTCCCAAAAAGTTCCTATCTCTACGGGGACCTATTACCGTATCTATTTGTTAAGTTGGAAAGAAATTTTTTTTTAAAAACCGGATAAAAGCCTAACTTGAGTTTGGAAAAAGATTTTACATGATATCAGGGACAACTGTGGCGAAGCCTGGTATAGCAAGTGAATTTCTTTGACTGTGAGATCTGCTTACTGTCTAGATTTCTCCTTGGTACTATCTAAAAAAGATAAGAATTTGAAACAGCTGGATGGTGAAAACAACTTCTAGGAACAGTGGAGGTGGACACTCACTGACTCTTATCAAAAATTGTCTCCACTAAAGGACTATCTGTAAACACCATAGAAATGGAGGAATACTACCCACAACTTAACTATAAACTTATACTTGAAAAAATACTACCCATAACTTAACTATAAACTTATACTTGAAAAAATCCTTGAAGGTCCTGAGCTAATGAATTCCAGATTGAAAGACAAATTTGTTACCTAAAATTTACAAAATGAAGCCCAAATTTCAGCTGATGAACTTACAACCCAAAAAGCAACAGAAGAGGAACAAATTAAAATCCTCAAAGAGGACTTTAAAGAACAACAAGAACAATCTACTGATAACTTTGATAGTGAAACCTTGAGTTCAACTAAAGAATCTGCAATTCAAAAAATAACAGAAACCGAAGAAAGCAACACTAAGATGAAACAAATACAATATATCAAGAACTTAGATAACCTAGACAATCCAACAACAATCACAACATTGGACATGACCTCTTACTCAAGCCAGATGAAACCGGAAGAAGAAGACCAGACTGAACTGACGACAAATATTCTAAAGCAAACATGGAGATTTGAACTATTAGGGCAACAATTTAGTGATTATAAAGGGGCCAGTTCCTTTGAAAAATTGATAACCGGATGGTCTCCCTTGCTTCAAATAACAAGTGTAGGAATGAAGGGAGAGCCACTTGTGGATTTAGAGGCACTGGTATGGAAGCCTGCTTGGCACAAAAAGAAAGCTAGAGTTAGACTTAAAAAATGGGATTTCTTTTTCTTTTTGATTTATAATAGAAGAGCCTAAAATCTTACTTAATGGGCTAAGGAGATTTTAAAAGATATTAATTGATTTAATATTTAGGACTTAGATTTATAAGGGAAATAAAAACTAGCCATTAGAATATAGTTTTGAATTATAATATGGAAGTTGGATTGAGACAATAAAGGATACTTTATTAGTAAGTGATGAGGTACCAGGATGAGAAATAGAATATATTTGTGAAATAAAGTAAGAATGTATTTAAGTAAACAATATATGTATTTTAGATATGATAACTATTTTTAATGAAATAAGGGAAATTTGGGTTACCCGAAATCTGAATATTATGGATACTACAGGCTAAATTGAA